AACGGCGGCCGGCAAACGGCAAACGCGGGAAATGTCAGGTCACGTGACCCTCTCTGCCGTTCGCGGGAAAAAAATTCGTGGTGCGTAATCTCTCTAATAGCGCGCAAAGCACACTGGTTGAGCGTGGCCCCTGAATTGAGAGGTCTGTATGTTTAATATAAATAAGGGTGCAATTGTTATCTTGTGTTTTGAAGTGGAAACACGGAGTACTGATGGTTGCGTATGTGGTCGGCCACAAATTTTGGGACATTGGTTCGCAGGAATGTTATTTCCACAACAAATTCGGCCAGATGACAGCTAGAAGAATAGATTGCCAAATTAGCCAGCCTGTAATGAATTAGACCCTTGAGATGGCTCACAAAAAATTCCAACTTTACTTAGACAAAAAATTATTTGCAGTTACGTCTTTACGTCCAAAAGTTTCTCATAACAGATTTATGCAAGTGTTAGATATAATTATCTTTTCATTAATATAGATAATCTCGGGCAACCAAAAGAAGCGCTAGCGATCAGTTAAGTCTAACTTTTCAAGTATTATATATAATAACTTCTAAATACAATCAAACAAGGTAAATTACTTGCGAGCTGCATTACTACATTTTCTACTGCTATATATAATAATTTGGGAAGGACCTTACAAGTGGAGGAACTGGAGGCACTACTTAGAGCATTTAACCGAACATTTCCTGCTTTAAATTGTCTTTTGTTCTCCAGTTTCATGCTCAGAGGATGCCTAACCCCACTTAACGGAGCTTTTCACTTCTTTCCTAGCCTGTCTTCCGTAGATCTTAGTGATTCGAACTTGGATGAACGTGACTTGCGTTCCCTCTTGATGAGCCTGTTTCTACTTGGTAATCCACTGAGTAACGAGTACAGGGTGAATTCTATTGTGAAACAAGCGCTGCCTCAAGTTGATCTACTTATGGGTAATAACTGCTTCATTCGCTGAGAGAAGTAGAAGTAGACCTGTGGGTTGATAGAAGAAATGATTGTGATCAGCGAAACAGCGTAAGCGTCACCTTCTCAACACTGACTTTTATTTAATTTGAAACTATCAACAAATAGAAACAAAATGAAACGGATAAATACTCTCACTGATGACGGCAAATAAAACTGCGAGATATGATGGGAAAGAACTTTCAAGATGAAAAAAAGGTCGATGAATACTACTTTGAAGCCAGGGTACTGATTAACCTCGACATATGTCTTTGGAACCCTTTGTGGAAAATGTTAACGATTCGCTCACCGTTAAGGGTGTTCTCAGGTGTGGCTTGATCAACAATCGAGTTTGAATTTTCTTTGGTAACAACAAAAAAATATCTCCAACTTGAATTGGATGTGAAACGAAAACTTTCATCGTTTCAGGGGCGAGTTGTGAAAATTGGAGAAAGTAGCTCGGATGTTTCCTAGTTGTACCCCTTGGTAGGCCCTTATAGATTTTATCAGTATAAATAGTATATCATGCTACAAATTTTCCCAAAATCATGCTTACAATTATGCCTTTGCGAGCTGCATTACTACATTTTCTACAAGAAGTGAAACCTTTCTGTAAATAAACAAAAAAAAAATTCAACGTACTGTTCTTATAAGACATGCCACGTGTCCTTGTCACCTCCAGTGTTATGCAGTTAACAATTAAATGATTTTTCAAAGACAAGTCTAGGGTCAAAAGTAATATGAATACAAAATCCAACGGTGTGTCCTTAATTTATTTCATCAATTATATCATTGATACATGAACAATAGAAAAAACCCACGTTTACCGATCTTAAAATTCAGAAATTCGTCACTGTCCATATTTCAGAAATTTGCAAATGTTTTCAAGAGCGAAATTGTTTCTCCGACATGACGAGGATTACTGATCGTTGCGTTAATGTCACGTCATGGTGTAATTTGGGTCACCGAGGCACCGAATCGAAATATGGCGTCCAATTTGAATTGCCATTGTTCTGGACTGACTAGCCTCTCACACATGTGATAATCCTTTTGTGTTTCCACGTCAAGACGAGGCTAGTAAGTCCAAAACAATGGTAATTCAAATTGGACGCCATATTTCGATTCGGTGAAGTACCCAGTATTTTTCTTCGCGAAAAATTGCCTCCATCTTTGATTTTAATGGCATCGGAAGGCTGGGGAGAGAAAGAGATTTGTACCAGTGACTGAAGGTCAAAAACAGGGAGAGGGGCTTGGAGCGAATATTATCATTACCTTTTGGCCCCTTCCCGCCCCCTCTCTCTACCGTCGACTCTCACTCCAAATTAAACATGACCAGGAGCCCAAGTCATGGGCTCCTGACATGACCGATTAAATAAACGATCACGCGCTTCTTAACGTGAAATCACCGTTGTAAGACTCCTGCAGTGCAGGCTATAGTTCTCGACAATAGTTCTCGACCAGGGAGCACGTAAGAAGTTCCCCAGTTACTGTAAAAACTAAGATTTATCATTTTCAAGTTCGATCCACGGTTTAGTTTATCCTCAATTTTGCAATGTTTTAGAAGAATTGGTTTCCGAAACACTGTGTCGTTCGTCGTTTAGAAGACTGGGCACACCGGAAGTACGTATTGCGTTGGTTACAGTACCCAGCAAGTGTGTCACTTAAGATGAAGAAGATAATTATATATCTTATTAAACATTTGTTGTGTAGTATAGCGGAGCATTTTTACGAGTTGTGCCGTATTTTGACGAGCCAAAACGCAAACAACGAGTTGTCATTTTAGTTCGGGCGAATCACGCGTATATTTATTTACGAGGAGTGCGTAACAGAATTATGCGAAGCGGAACGGAATTGGCGTTAAGGTCAGATTTCGTCTTCTCTGTGTTGCTGTTTTTATTCTCTTCAATAAATGATGAAATTTCATTATCGTCTAACTGCTTTTCTTCGCTCGATTCATCTAATAAACTTGGATCAACATTCGCCGGCCATTCCGACTCTTCGTCGTCAGGAAAATAATTTAAATTGTCCTCCATTTTTTTTCTTAACTTCAATCCAATTCGTCGCTTGCACGATGCGAGGAAACCTCTCGAACCGGTCCTCTGGAGTACAAATACCACGAGATATTTGTACTCGTTTTGGTCGTTATTTTTACTTTTCGAAGCACATTTGGTTAATAACACATTTCATCAACAATGAATATATTATGTGGACTTGCTTTGTGCTTCTGGAAGCATACTTAAAAAAAAATAGGCATAATTATTGAACAAAGGCATAATTTTAAGCATGATTTAGAAAAAATATGGGAAATGCTTGTAGTAATATATGCAACTTTTAAAGGTAAAATCTATTGGGGCCTACCAAGGGGTACAACTAGGAAACATCCGAGCTGCGTTCTCCAATTTTCACAACTCGCCTCTGATACGATGAAAGTTTTCGTTTCACATTCAGTTCAAGTTGCAGTAGTATTTTTGTGATGTTACAAAAGAAAATTCAAACTCTATTGTTGATGAAGCTGTTAAAAGACAAAATTGAAATTCAGCAAGAATTTTCATTAAGTGTGCTTTTAGACTTATTTGGGTGTTAAGAAAAGGGATGGAAATATTATATCACTTTAAGCCATTCAATGCAAAAATTATAATAAGCAGTTTGATTATTTCCTATTCCTTTTGGCGGTCTCATCTAAGTACAATTTCCTTCACCTTTTTCTTATTGTGGTTGCAAATTTGGCATGGAAGCAAATGTTCAGTTTCTACGGTGATTAAAACTTGCTGTATATTTCGCGGTAAGCTATGCTTTTAACTATGTCAATCTGCTAATTGAAAACTGCATAGTTTAATTTACGCGGTTTTAATAAATGTTATTATAATGTTATTAATTAAGAAAGAGAGTAAGTCTCTTTGGTTAAAGTTAACCTCGTACAGGATTTCCTGGAAATTCCTACTTCTTATACTTTTGACTATTCTCAGACTCGTTTTTTAGGAACAAATTCTATGTCAAATTCACGATTAAAGAATATTTCTTAAATTTTATTTTAACACCTTTAACACCACCCAAAGTGTAAACAGCTCATGCCTTTTCATCGTTCGCACTGAATTTTGAATTAGATAAGACCACATAACATTTCTGGGGACGGTACTCGTCAACTCCCCTTCACCTCTGAATTTTCCGTTTATTCTGTCGTTATGTAACAGTCTTCTAAGGCTATTTTCCCGTAAGATATCTTTTAAGTATGATTCTAATTCTGCCAATAGGTTAATTATAATTTTTACATTATTAATCTCGTTTCTGCTCTGGCCGATCTCAACCATTAAAGTATGAAATTTAAAGTAGATATGATTTTATAACTGCATAAACAACTCGAAGGGGCATACTTAGTATGCAGGAACTGTTGTACGTAGCTTAACGTGATTCGCTGGTTGAGATAGAACGATGACGATGCTAGAAGATTGACAGCTTAGTAGTGTCACCTTTAGTGTCACTTTTATAAGCTGGTGCCCAGCATTTTCAATCAGAACAAGATAAAGTTGAGTTGTACTGAGTAGGGTTAAAAGTTGAGCTAGTCCCACAAGAGAAAAAAAGTTATATTAAGAGTACAGGCCAAGAAATAAAGAAATACTATTGGGTGTTAGAAAATCTTCTAACCAGGGCTGTAGCTAGATTTCAGGACAAGACCAGGCAAGTTTCGAGCGCCGAAGGCGCGAGCCGCTAGAGGGGTCTGGGGGCATGCCCCCCAGAAAACTTTGAAATCTAGAGGTTTAGAAATGCTCTTTTAAGGATTTTCCGCGGCAGTTTTCTTCAGAAAAGTCAATCTTTCAGAAAAAAATTAAAAAAGGCCAAAATCGTCTTGCTTCATGCTAGCAAAGCCACACCTGAGAACACCCTTGACGATGAGAGAATCGTAGACATTTCATATAAAGGGTTCCAAATTTCAAGGATAATGATTACCCTGGCTTCATAGCAGTATTCATCGACCTTTTTGTTACCTCAAAAGTTCTTTGCCATTATATCTCGCAATGTTATTTGCCGTTATCAGTGAGAGTATTTTTCCGGTTTCATTTTGTTTCTATTTGTTGATAGTTTCAAATTGAATTAAAAGAAATTGTCGAGAAGAGCGACGCTTTCGCTGTTTCGCTGATCACAATCACTTCTTCTGTCAATGCGCATGTCTACTTCTTTTTTCCACGAATGAAACAATTGTTACCAATAATATAGTTCAACTTCAGACAGCGCTTGTTTCACGATAGAATTCACCTTGTACTCGTTACCCAGTGGATTGCCAAGTAGAAACAGGCTCATCAGATTAGGACTGGACTTCAAACCATCCACGAGGGAAAGTAAGTCGTGTTCATCCAAATTTGAATCACTAAGATCCAAGGAAGACAGGCTAGGAAAGAAGTGAAAACGCTGCGTAAGTGGGGTGAGACATCCTCTGAGAATGAAACTGGAGAACAGAAGACATTTTAAAGCCGGAAATGTTCTGTTAAATCCTCCAAGCAGTGCCTCCATTTCCTCCACTTGTAAGGTGCTCCCTATCCTCCCCGTTAGCCAAAGTGTTTCTAACAAAGGCATTTCAGGAAGTGATCGGCCAAGTGCCACGGCTGCCGCTGGAGTCAGTCTTATGTTCCCCAGTAAAAGTTTCTCAAGAGTTTTGATCGTTATAATAGAAACCAGCTCGTTTACTACTGCAGCACAACAGCCAGCCAAGTCAAGGTCAAGTTTGACGAGGTTGATTAGTTTTGGCGACAAACCAGCGAGCGTCACTGCCACAGACGACGTGAATAAACAGACGCCAATGTCAAGCTTCAACCGATACTTACCAGGATTTGGTATCTGTTCTACCAATTCAAAAGCGTTCTCAGTAGTGGAGCAGATGTTAGTCATTGTACTTGAACATTGTTTTGTCTCTACGTGAAGACAAATGTCTAAAGATGTTAGAAATTCAAAACATGACGGTGTTGAACAAACACTGGGAAGAGATGGAGGAGAATTCACACCAGCGAGTAGCCTGGCATGACCACCACAACATAGTTTCAATTCTCTTACGTGAAACTGTGTCTGGCCAGCATGGAAAAGAAGCATGCAACCCAGCTCACAGGAGAACACGCCACATTCGATAGCTTCGAATTTCTTTACAAATGTTCCGACTGAAACAGACGCTGAATGGACAATTGGTTCTAGAGGAATATGTAAGCAATTGAGAAACGCAAGCGACTGGTATATCTTCCTTATTTCGTCACGGTTCCATCTACCCAACCAAACCACTCCACGAAGTGAAATCTCATTCCAAATTTTCTCGTCTGGTAACATGTCAAGGAATGATCTTCCATCCTCCCCAACAAAGATGATGCGATCGGTGCAGTTCAAAAAGTGTGGCAAGCACGCAGTTTTAGATCGAACTTCTCTAAACGAACTATGCACATGGTATATGAAGCAACACTGCTGTGAGACGACACTTTGATCATTCGGTATTGTCAGTGAAAAATTTAGTTCCGGGTCAGAGGATCTAACTGATGCCAAGTGCTCAGAAACCCTCAATGCTCCATCATCAGACAAACCGCAAACAAACTGAAAAACATTTTCCAAGGAACTACAGTCGTTCAAGGTTCGGGCGCAGTCGCCAATTTCACCGAGATTTCCTTCAGGGACACGTCGGTGGGTGATATACCACGCTGCCAAGAACTCCTGTATGCTCTTGTGAATAAATGATACCTTCAATGCTGGTCGAATTCTTTTTGAGCACTTACTGACTTGCAGTAAGCCAATAATGCGACTTTCTTCACAAAGGATGGCATCGGACAGTTGATCATACTCGAATACATGATCGTCCTTTAAAAGACATTCTAAGGCCACCTTTCCGATTTCACTCAAGATCTCTGTGAAATCTTCAACTTTCCCCTCATTGTAATGCAAAACGTACTGGACGATCGCAAAGTACAATTTTGTTTTGGAGCCAGAAAGGCTCTGTACCTTTCCGTGTCTCCACATCTGGCAAAACATGAAAAGAAGTAGCGGAATTCTCGCCAGAGTTTCCACGCCTTGCTGGTAAAGATGATTCGACAACGCTACTGCTTCTGTTTCGCCACCAAGTATCCTGATCATAAGGGTTTTTCTTTCCTCTTCACTGATCTCAGCATAGAAGTCTTGAAATTCTTTCAGCTGGTCAGCTTCGGAAATTCGAGTCGTTATCAACGCAGAACAGTTCCTCAGTTTATCTCCTCTGACTTTCGTGCTTATGACATCTTCACGGCTATAATATTTCAGGTCTTTTGTGAGATCACTATAAACCACAAACTCAGACTTCTCGGGGAAGACTATCTCAATTTTCTCTGTCCAGTCATCAGGATCAGCCCAGTCCTTAAACAATTTCCTTGTAACATGGCTTTTGCCATTTCCAAATTCCTCAAACAAGAGTATTCTGTTTGAAGGAAGGCCGTTCTCTTTTATAAGGATGATCTCTCTTACATGCGTGATGTCGTTGCGCTCAGACCGAGATGACCCAGCTGGGATTTCTCTTCCTCCCACGATGGGAGTGTACACTTTGTGAAGTATAAGGTGACGCAGTTTCAAATAGAAACTATTCCCAGGAGATATATCTGTTTAGAGAGGACATAAACACATCATTAATGGTGAACATGTGTACCTAAACTACTTCCATGGAATTTAAATCTTGGAGCTGACTGTCGACACACAGGTATAGGTAAATGCATTAAGCTTAGGCAGGAGCCCATAATGGGCAAGGAAAAACTTCAACCTCACTTTAATACCTCTTTCAATGCAAATGTTTGGCTTTTCCAATTACGAGTACGTTCTCAATTTGCTTTTAATCATTATGACACGAAGGTTTCTACTGGTTTTTCGAAGAGAAAAGAAAAAGAGTCTATTTCTAAACGCAACATCAATGTAGGTATCATGAGGCCCATTCCTGTTATTATCATTGCAAAACTTTACTTATCACTACCTACCCTGTCCAACGAATTATAATTCCATTCAGAAGAACAAACAAAATGCAACTCGGGGGGTAAAAGACAGAAGAATGAATATGTCCTCTATGGCTGTACCAACAACGCAAACTATTAATTACCTGAAGGCTTTTTGTGGTCGTCCAGTTTCTCTTCTTGATCTTTATCGTGAAAACGTTCCCAAAAGATGTTTTTTCTTGTCTTCTGGATAATCTGGAAATTAGGAATCATCAGCCTCTCCACAATTTCTTCACACGGGATCAGTTCAGTTATACCGACTATAGGCCATTGGACGTGGCGTGGAGCTCTGCTGCTTTTTCCAACTTCAGAATCAGTTTCAGTACAATTTTGAGTCACTCCACTAATCGTTGCAAAAGCCGAAGTGACAATTTGGTCATTAGCAGGGTTTGCTCCTTCTTGATTGGGACCTGACGAGCAAAATATCATATCATTAAAAGAAAAAAGACAAAAAAACAAAAATCAAAGGAAATGTAGCTTGACTGATAAAAGCCAATAAGATTGACAAGCGAAAACAATAACTTACCCATTTCTGACCGCAGCTTTAGTATCATTCCATAGTAATGCCGTGCCCAAAGGACACGTTCTTCCATCGTCCGTTTATAAGGACCCACCAGAGTCCTTGTATTGATTTCAGATGGGAGCTCTATGCTCATACCCTCTGTGGCTTTTTGGTTTTGGTATTTAGCACTGTTGTTTGTTCCACCTTCACGGCCTAATTCATTAGCCTTTGAAGTCTCTCCAGCCACAATACAGACTGCAGAAGAGACAAATTTGCCCTCTGCAGGGTCAGTTCCTTCTTGGTTTGGGTCCGATACAACAATTTTTACAGCGCCTGAAACCAAACGAAATTACTTCTTGTTTGTGATGCAATTCACAATCTATTGTAGAAAGAAGTTTCACGGTCAAGATTAATTTTGCATGAGAACCAGGTGAAGCATCTGCCATTGTCAAAGCCACGCTGACATGCATTTTCTTACTGTGGACATTTTAAGGAGTTTCACTGACAGGATGTGAAAGTGTCTGGGACAGCAGTTGTAACCTGATAAAGCTTTAACGGGTGATGAACTTTTGCATCAGAACTATTACTGAAACTATTTGAAAATGTTGCGTCATTTATAAGTCTATGCCAGGAGACAGCGGATCATAAACAATTGATTGTTAAAATTTGGGGCATAATCGACCTCCACTACATCTTTACCGTTACTTATCGAATGAACAGGTCTACACTTTGTTTTGTTCAAAAAGTGCTGGCACATTTTGTTAGCACATTCTCACTTCAAATTATCACAGAGAATGCTAAATCTATTTTACCGTGAGCCGAGATAAAAACTAATTTTTCAGAATGATCAGGGCAAGAACCCCGGGAGTACCCTTTATCTTCACATTATCTGTACCATAAGGCAAGGATTCCATTTTCTTCTCAGTATCACCTCTGTTTGTGAATGAAGACCCAATCCCCGCCTGTCGTTCGTTTCCTGTCGGATGTCGTTGCTCTTCAACTCCGGTCGCGATTGAATCACAAGAATCATTCTCACCTGGTGATATAGAACAACATGGTAAGCTAGAAACGTTGTCAGAAGATATTGCACGGCTTTTAAAATAAATTTTAGATTGTATAACTATAAAAGGTAAATCGCAATGGACAACAGCTCTGTTGAAATGATTCTGAAAGCCTGAGCGATAGAATAACAATAATATGGCAGTAGAATTACCTAATGAAATTTTCCATACATCTCCATGTTTTGAATCATCCAGTTCACTAGCATTTGCTTTAGTGTCAGCGGGTGATGGCACTGGTGATGCTTCATCATCTGCATCGTAGTCACTCTGGTACACATTATCATCTAAAGAACTTCCCGACTGGGCAGCAGCAGTACCTGGTGAGAACAAATAGAAAACAAATATGGTCTGCTATAACTCACTTCTTGCTACACTTAAACTAGCCGGCCAATAAAAAACTTGAAAAAACTCCTGACAATAAGGCTACATGTGTTTCATGATTTCCTGGTTTGGGACGGGCCAGGAACGAGTATAGGTACCCCAAAACCCTTCATAAAAAAGACGCTAAAAAAAGGAGCTGTTGATAGTCGGTGTAGCAGTACTCACTGTTTGCAACGAACTTCTACTGGACCCGATATGCTGTGCTACGTACCTGTATCTTAATCAAAGTGACAACTTACTAGGTGGACAAACTTTCCTCTCCACGGCATGCTTAAGCTCTAACCAATCAACGGTTTCACAGCTGTCTTCCCTGGAAACTTCCTTTGATAGCCTTTATGAGTACGAAAATGATGTAACGTGACAGTATCATATAATTTGTAGCGTAAGCTAATCGAAAAAAATATATCTTTGTAGGCAGCCTTTAGCGTGGGTCTCAATAACTATAAATGAAAACAAGGGTAGCACTGTAAGTAGCATGAGCATAGTTAGTTTCGTAATTACTGCGAGTGTTTTACGAGGTGTTAGTACTGTACTGTTGTATGAAAAGTAAAAGTTAATAACGACAATTATTAAAAAAAAAAAAACCCTTGAACAAATTACAAGTATAATGTATGGGTATACTGTATGGATGGAGGAAGAAACAGTGAAAGAATAACGTTTATTGAACTAGAACACGAGAATACAAAGGCCTTAATCTCTCAAGGGTGTTCAAGTTTATCTTATTATTCGTAAATCAGTGACTTCTCTAATAATTTATAATCTCAGCATTACTTTTCTAGTGGCAACAAGGCTTTAAATAGCCCTACAAAGAAGTACAAATTTTTTACCTTTCATTCACATCCTCAAGGAAATCTCCCAAGATGGTATGTCCATTCGCTCTAGCAATGTCTCCAGGTGATGTAGAACTGTTTCTGTAGTGATTGAATACTAATCTTCCAGCTGAGGTGCTGAAGACCATTTCGAGAAATTCGCGGCCATCTATTTCGGCAGCTTTGTACACAAGTAGTGTAAGAATTTTTTCGAGTATGGCATCATTCCTCTTATTCACATTTGATGATCCTAGTGAAATAACCATAGGCAATTTAAGGTTACAAGACCAAATGTAGATTAATGAGAACTTTTCAACTCAGTGTCGTAACACCAAAACCAGTATAAATACAAAAGCCAATCAGAGTGGAAGAAAACATCACTAGAAGCCGAGGAGAACCCAAAGCACGGACAAGTGCGAGAAAACGTCACTGACCATGTAACGATTAATATTAGATTTTCTCTTAATTTGCTGAGAGAGAAATTACTCTTACCTCACAACGCATTCACACTAGAGAGCTCTCAGTGTGAAAAAAGGAAGACGTTACGTTGAGTAGTTAGTAAATCTCAAAATGTTGCCAAGAGGCTTTGGAATGCACTTCTATTTTAAAAAACTATCCTCACTTTTTTCCAATGGTATCCTAAGATATATTTCTTCCGAACCAATAAAATATGAATAATTCCGGTTGCCCATATATCATCATGGGGGTTACCGAATTATGGTTTCATAAACTGTACGGTAGGCTTCCTTCACATTTTATGAATACTGAGTAAAGAAGGTCACTGAAGTGATTAAATATTTAAAGATAGCCTGCCAGCCTTTGTGGTGGAGCAATGGGGGTCTTTTTTAAACACAATCCGTCTCTTCGCGAAGGACGATGAATGATTATCATGATACCATAACTTTTCAAGCAACATTTCTTTTTTGCCATCCCAGACCTTAGTGGATGTACCACCTATTCGTGTCATTAAAATTATAAATTCAAGTTGTGCATGATCCCTCGTAATATAACACACCAATACCTGTTCCTCCTCCACCACGAGGGGTTGCCTGTTGAACACAGGGTTTTCCTTTTCGGCCGGCGACCGGCGATTTTCGCCGCTTGCGAACGGCTCCGTCGCCGGCAACTAAAAGCATCCTTGCTGGTAAATAATTTAAAATATTTTAGATAAAGAATAAACGCTTTGTATGTTGTCTGACAATGACGTGCAAGAAACGGAAATCGATGAGGAGTACATATTTCCTCCGAAGAAACTCGCGAAAACGAAGAGGAATTTTTACGCGTGTACTGGTACGTGACGTTCATTAATGCAAGTTTGCGTTGTCAAGTCACGCATCACTGGCATCCCTTCAAGGTACGTAAATTGTTTTATTTCTGCATTTCTCATAAATATTCATCACTTAATGAAATGTAGCGCTTTCATCGCAATTTATTAAACCAAAATGGTCCTTTGTTTATGAGGTGTGTCGCCTTTTCATTTCAAATACGCTTCATTTAGCTTTCGTGAATTCGAAGCAAAATAAATTTAACGCAGACAATAATTAATCACTATTTGAAAGGTCAATTATCTTCTTGACTTCTCGGCTTCTCACTGTTTTAGTTTAAACAGATATACTTTAACTAGGAACTACTTATTCTCACCAAGCGAAAGCATAAAAAATATTATCTCGGGTCAAGCTATAAACCGAAGTAAAGTGATAAGCCGATCGTGCGGGATAAAATTGCGAAATATTTTTGTGATGTTCGTGTTTTTGTTCACCTTTGATCTGTTTGATTCTTGTGTTAATATCTTGATGTGAAATTCTTCCAGATCGATTCGAGTGTTGTTTTACATTAATATTTATTAGTAACGTGCCCGGTATTGCCTGAGGGATGAACGGGCGAAGATACAACCACTTTGTTTGTTGCTGTTTGTCGCTGTTTGTCGCCATGTGCTCGATTGCATAATCAACGTGCCATATTTGGAACCAGTCGTGCCCAGTCTGTTTTGAGGCTGCAAGCGAACTTCCAGACTCTCTTTGGTTGTAAAGAAAAAACGATGCCTATTGGAGGTGTTGATAAATTATATCCTTGACTTCTTATATAAGTAAAGATATCATTATTATTATGCATTACTTTTGCAGTGCAACATCACAGTGTAGTTCTCGAACATGAGCCAAAAGAGACAATGTTCCAAACAGGCCGGGATTCAGACATTTTTCACCAAAAAACAACGGGTGTCAGGCAAGAAAACATTTTGACAACACTTATTTACTGTATAAATACAATTACACTTTTCATTATCTTAACATAACAGTAACTTTCTTTCATCAGATGCATCCACATCTGCAGATCTCACACAGTCTGATGCACCACAAGCTGACTCTAATGATAGATGTGCTCCGTTGCCTTACACATCAGCAGATAATGTGGAAAAAGTTCCCTCAGTAGAAAAAAGTCCATCTGCTGTGCCTGTAACAAACGTAAGCAAAAAACCATTGGATAATCAATCTAAAATGCCTACACAAGAGATGTTGGAAGACCTTTTTCCTGGAGAGAAATCAAGAATTCATCACCACGATATCTGTGATGCGGGTTGTACCTTCAGTAGAGAAGAGATTTCCAGGCAGCTAGAAGCAAACAAGGGCAAGAAGAAAGAAAAGCTGTTTAATCACGCATGGCTATGCAAAGCTGACATTGCCTACTGTGCAGCAAGCGGATACTGGTGGCCTGTGTTTGTAGAAGGTGAAGGGGTGTATTGTATCCTGTGCAAGAAGCACAATGTCCACTCTACACAAAATAAGCAAGAGAAATTCTCTGCAGAGCCCTCAGTGAGGTTCAAGTCCTCGGCATTGGTGGGGCATCTCAACAGTAGAACACACAATGAAGTTATCCAACTTGAACACACACAGAGGGGAAGTATTTTCCAGAGAGAAGTCAGCAACAGAAAAGCTGCGGAGGCAAAAACAATTGAATGCGTCATGCGTAATCTATATTTCCTGATGAAAGAGGAGATATCGAATAGGAAAGCAGCCCATCTAAATGAGCTTGTAGCGTTGCAAGGGGGTGAAGAGATCAAGTACTTCCAACACAGAAGTCAACGAGTGCAAAAAGAAATGATGCTAGCATTGGGAGATGCGGTTTGTAACTCCTTTTTGCCAGATGCTCAGGCCGCCAGATGTTTTGGACTGCTCATAGACGACCTTACAGATATTGCTGTTCAAGAGCAGATGATCTGCTTCATCCAGTATGTAGATAAGAAAGCCTCTAAACACACCAAGTTCCTTTTTACAACTAACCTTTTGAGTGGCGAAAGCTCTAGTGCGAATTCTCCGACCATAAAGGCAGCTGTGCTTCAAGGTTTGGAAAATAAATCCCTAGACACCAGAAAGTTTGCCTCAGTCTGTACTGATGGTGCATCAGTAATGACAGGAGAACAAAATGGCTTGGCTGGACTTCTTCGCAGAGATTTCCCTGCAATTCTCACCTTTCATTGCGTCTGTCATAGACTAGCTTTGGCAACTGTTGATACCAGTAAAGAAGACGATGTGAAATACATCGACAACGTTCACAACTGCCTTAGGCAGGTCTGGCAGCTTCTTGAAAACTCGCCCAAGAAAATGGCGACTTTCATCAAGATACAAGCCAACGTCAACACCGTACAACTAAGTGCAAAAGGGAAAAAGGCNTTTAAGACCCTGAGTGTTGGTCCGGCCGGGGCTCGAACCCTCGACCTCCCGCACAACAGTCCAGCGCTCTATCCATTGAGCTAACCGGGAGGCGGTTTTATAAAAACGTTAAGTTTGGGAACTTAGCTAAATGTGTTACGTTCTCATAAATGTTATCATATCCATATCGATATGCGATTGAAGACAGAGACGTGTCAATCAGCTACGTTGTGAAATTTTGACGTTTATACAGCGACGGCATCATTTAAATTTCGAGTTATTAAGGGAATTTGAGCCCAAGGGAAGTAACATTAGTTAGAGTTAAATAGAAGTTTGAGTTAAACGAGTTCAAGCTGGTTGATAGTAAATGATTGGAAAAAAGGGATCAAATCCAGGGGAAGTCAGTCATATCTTGCTCAAGTTAGCGGGGAGTCCAAGTTAACTAAATTCGAGTTGGCGGGGTTGTACTGTATTTCATATTCATCATAAATGTAGTGGCACTTCATTGTATCACACTCTACAAGTTAATCAACAAATAGTATTTACTTACTGATGTTTCCAGTCAGGGTTTTTTCATCTCTTTTCTGTAAAGGTACAGTATCAATGCCCTCGAATTTGGCCCGAAGGTTCGATGTCTCGCACTTTCTATGCAGTTTTTCGCCCAAAATGATGCAGAAGCGTATATTTTTCTGTCAGTATTCAAAAGAAAGCAATCTTTTAACATTCATGTCAAATACACAAACAGATTTCGTTGCCCATGATGGGGAAAAATTCTATTCGTAACACCTAATGACCGGAGGTAGGTTTACCGGAATTCATGACACGAAAGAGAAACGGAGGCCAGTGAACTAGTGGCTATCAAACATGCCGCTTATTTGTGGCTCGGTTAACATCCACCTCTATTAACCTTAGCTTTAAATATGGTGATTTCTTGTCGATTATCGCCTTAACTCGACCAAAAACTTCACACCAGGTTGAATAGCACAACATATACAAGACAACCAGTAACAAATAAGTCTACATCTTAACCAAATTAAATATGCCATTGCCGGCAAAACTCTAAGCTCAAAGCTACATCTCACTATTACGTATCATGCACGATCCTCGCAGTAGATAGCGCTATTTAAGCAATAGCGAAAATCAGACCTGAAAAAAATCAGGCCTGTACGGGACTCGAACCACTGACCTCTGCGATACTAGTGCAGCGCTCTACCAATTGAGCTAACAAGCCAACTGGGAGCAGGCCGTTAAGTTGATTCGTAATAAACCCGTGAAAGTGATAAATGAGATACAATGAATATATGAAGTTCATATATTTTGAACTGCGGTATTAGATACGTATGATGCACGATCCTCGCAGTAGATAGCGCTATTTATGCAATAGCGAAAATCAGACCTGAAAAAAATCAGGCCTGTACGGGACTCGAACCACTGACCTCTGCGATACTAGTGCAGCGCTCTACCAATTGAGCTAACAAGCCAACTGGGAGCAGGCCGTTAAGTTGATTCGTAATAAACCCGTGAAAGTGATAAATGAGATACAATGAATATATGAAGTTCATATATTTTGAACTGCGGTATTAGATACGTATGATGCACGATCCTCGCAGTAGATAGCGCTATTTATGCAATAGCGAAAATCAGACCTGAAAAAAATCAGGCCTGTACGGGACTCGAACCACTGACCTCTGCGATACTAGTGCAGCGCTCTACCAATTGAGCTAACAAGCCAACTGGGAGCAGGCCGTTAAGTTGATTCGTAATAAACCCGTGAAAGTGATAAATGAGATACAATGAATATATGAAGTTCATATATTTTGAACTGCGGTATTAGATACGTATGATGCACGATCCTCGCAGTAGATAGCGCTATTTATGCAATAGCGAAAATCAGACCTGAAAAAAATCAGGCCTGTACGGGACTCGAACCACTGACCTCTGCGATACTAGTGCAGCGCTCTACCAATTGAGCTAACAAGCCAACTGGGAGCAGGCCGTTAAGTTGATTCGTAATAAACCCGTGAAAGTGATAAATGAGATACAATGAATATATGAAGTTCATATATTTTGAACTGCGGTATTAGATACGTATGATGCACGATATGCAGTCTATGACTGAATGTGGCCACTCCTGTATTTTTGTAGAACTTGTGATAAAAGGAAGATTTAATTAAAATAGAGTTTGTACACAGGACGACTGACAAGGCCGGGTAGGGTATTGTAAGAAAATTCATCACTTGACGGGTGAATTCCGCATTAAATTGCACGCGAAAACCGATATCACATGAATCGCGAAAGGATGAGTGTGATATCAGTTTTCGAGTCAAGTAATGGATTTTCCTTGAATCGCATAACTGAATAAAAATAAGAAAAAAAAAAAGAAAAAGAAAACAGCATTACTTAGAATTGTTATGTAATCCAAGATGTGAAACAATAGCACTTATCCTCGTTTTCAACTCGCAATTCCACGCTAAATACTTCGCTTCGTTGACAAATCAGAATGTGAAATTTTGTTCAATGGTGCGATTCTATAGGAAAATTTATTGCTTGACGAAAGGAATCCCGCCTTAAATTGCAAGCGAAAACCGATATCGCACAAATCGCAAAGCGATGAGTGTGATATTGGTTTTCAACGATCGCCAGAGTTAGAACGGGACTAAATCACACGCGTCGCGCGACAAGTCACGAGAGAGGTTACGCGACTCTCACGAAAGTCTGCCATTTTGAAAACCGCAAGGAGCTTGGGGGAAGGTTTAAGGACTTCTACAGCATCACAGCATAGTGCTTACAGCTTCCAAGAAGAAAGGCAGTAGCAAAAAAATATTGTGCTTACCTCTGTGGGTCCTTGTGACGGAATGATTTCATCGACCACTATAACAATTAAAACAGAAAAGTAAATCTCCATAACAATTTGCTTATCATCTACATAGTTAGTTGTGGTAATGTTATAACGGAAAAACTGGCATCATGTCTAGATTTGTTCGTTTCGACTTACACAGGGAAAAGACAGTCAGAAATTTTACTTAAGCAAAACATGCGGTCAGATCGACAAAAACGTTTTGTCAATTTCAAAACTTTCACTTAAGGCATGAGACCAGTTATTACAACAAACATGGCCAAGTGCCATATGAGAAACTACCTAACAACCTTGGGTAGCTTTATCTTGCTCGGGCCGCACATGGGAATATTGCCGGTAAAGCCCTCGCTATTAGATAGAGAAAATTATAGCATATATACTTTTATAACCCATCCATTAAATTTTCGCGCGATTCTAAATCAATATTTGTCCTCCGATTATCTTCATCGAAAGAAACAAAGCCAGCGGAATAAAGCGAGCTCAAGAGTTTCACTATTTTTTTTAGCTTATTACTTTCCAAGAAAGAAAAACAGTTGGTCTAGTACAGTCCAGTAATAGTGAATATTATCAGCCGACATAACAGCCGCCTGAAGAAGTTTATTTACTAAATAAACAAAATGGTATTACCACTCCCCGTATATTAAAAGCACAAACTGTCGAAAAACCTAACTTTTTTTAGTATTCTGGAATAGCCACTTTTTTTTATTCAAATCATTTTCTTTAGGGAGACTGAGGTGAGAGGGGAAGATGGCATTTAATGTTTCGATTAAATTACTCATAACTTCTAACAATTATACAGCTCCAACTAAGATGATATTTTCTTCTATTTAATTAAAAATATTGTTTGGAATCTTCAATCCAACCCTAACCTCCGGACGATTGGGTTAAGAAGTCAAACCACGCCTCACTTCCCTCCTCCAAAGCAGAGTTCAAATCCTCAGACGGACGAAAAATCTGTTTATAGAAAAAAGAGGAAAATTTTACGTTGAAGTATTTGCTCATGTTGGTTAGCTGGCTTCTAAGTTTAATCAGTAATGAGAGCAATTTTTCTGAATGCAATCAAGGAATTTACACATCAGTTGCGTCCTAACCTTTGCTGCTCACATCATGTTAGGAAACTTCTCCTATATGACATTTCTTCCTAATAAAACTGATTGCTTGCAAAAGTTGCGGTTAATCTATACAGTTAGCCAGTAATGTAACATTGTTAATTAATGCATGTACACCTGTCAAGAGTTTTGTACTTCATTATCTGTGTTTGTGAATATGTTTTACGCTAATGTCAAGGGTAAAAACAAATTTCCACAGCTATTACCAATAAGTTAAATTACGTGAACCATTTAGTCTGCAAGAGTGTGTGACAAATTTACTCACTCAGTCTTTTGTGGATGTGCTAATTTATAATCAGCCATTGCAAAATTGAAATCCGTAATTTGCAAAATAAAAATCTATTAATTATTTCTGAAATATATAGATTGGTCTGTAATTTGCAAAAAAAAAAAAAAAAAACCAGTAATTTGTGAAAAAGAAACGCGTTAGTGATTTGCAAAATAGAAATCTGTAATTTTCAAATTAGAAATAAGACTGGTTGATGATTTGTATAATAAATTTAAATCTGTAATTCTGACATTTGCGAAACAAGAATCTCTATGGAAAACTCCACAGGCTGGAAGAAGGGATCAGTCAGTTCACCACAAGTGAACTACCAGACGAGTCTACTTAAGTCAGCCTCTATTAAAGGGGAGAGCACTTAGTTGAGGAAATACGTAAGTGCATTCACTGGTACCCTATTTTTCTTCATTTACACCCAAGCTGTCATTCAAGGAGTTGTCATAATTTAAAGGATGATTTTTGAGAAAGTTACCTTTAAGTGATGATACATACCTCAGAAAGAGCACTAATATCTATGGAGTAAAAAGAAGTACATATAATTGTATCTATACAACTTTTAAATATGCCACACATAGCATTCCAAAATTGGCACTTGTTTGGTTATTCATGCATCAGGTGGACAATATTAATGGTTTCCATGAACAAGAAACCAAATATCAATCAAACTTGATCACTAAATTCCTGGAGATCAGAACAAATTAACATGTGCATTGACCACTAAAACTTGAAAGTAAAAATTCACAGCAAATATGTGGTGCACAAATGTATTGTGGACATGCTCAAAATCATGTGTTTCATCATGACTATTATTGCAGATGAGTGCAATCCTATTATGAGAAACCACAACAAAATCTGTTGTGTACTACGCTGAAAGGTTGAAGTTAGCTAGCACTTGGCCTGCAAGCTCTCTTGAATTTTCTAAGAGTGTGAACTTTTATTGTGGCTGACTTCAACTTGAAAAAAAAAACATAAAAGACAAATTGATTGAGTCACTTTCATTGATGAAATGTGAGTTTCTTGTTCTGACACATACAAAATATAGGAAATTTCGATAAAATGTACAATCCTTTTTTAAGTCATCCAGCATTACTGCTTGCATCCTTAGTTTAAGTTCAAACAAGAATACCCTTAATAGCTAGTCTTAATTATGAAATAAAACTACTTATTAACTAAGTCAGGTTGAGGGGAAAATATGTGGCTCTATAGGTCATGATGCTTGTACCTCCCTGCCCCTCCATTTAAAAGTCATGACCTCAGGTCATTTATTTTCCTGTGCAGGCCTCTCACTAATTCAAAAGACATTAAGTGCATGAACCATTAGCCTTACCTTCTGACTGCTCAGCAGTGTCACTAGCTTCAGCCACACTAAGGGCATTGCTCCTGATTGAATCCCATCCAGAGTCTGACTTCATGAATGAAGAGTTATCAAATTCATTATGAGTAAACAAAAACAATTTCAGTTTGCACATTTATATGTTGCACCCTTAATTATGAAATTATTGAAAAAATAATTTCTAAGCAAATTTAACTCAAGACCAGAGATTGCTGCTGACTCAGCTAGGCTTCATTCTTTAGGGAGGACTGTTTCATGCAGATGGGCTTTTCGATCAGAGGAACTTAAGTCTGGTATTCTATAGCATGCAGTGTCAGAGGCTAGGGGACCATAACCTGTAATATTGATTTGTCTTTGACTGAAGAGTGGTGTGGTTGAGGAGATTTCAGGATATCCAAAACTGCTCCAAATTAAGCCAATGCAATCAAAGTGAAGGTAGAACCATGATCCATGCAAAAGTAAAGATATAATGCCAAAAATAAAAATACCTCATGTGAAATGGGTTGCTGATCTGCAGTTGCAGCTGGTTGTTGAGAAGGATCAATGTACAATATCCCTACATGGACAATAAATACACAAATCTCTTAGTTACTGCTCAACTTGTTATTCTTTCAGAACTTGTTCTTCTTTCAGTGAAGAGCACCACAAGTTTGAATGCAGGAAGGGTCAACTACATGCCAAGAATCAAATAGAATGTAACTCTTCACCAACTTGTACATGCATGCCTTTACCCTAAAACAGTTGTATTCCAGGGAAAAATTTTTTTCATGTAGACTTTCATTTTCAGAATAAAGTTTTAAGGGTAATTCAACTGTTCTTTTTGATGCAGTTAACCTTTAAAGAAGGAAATGAAACCTGGTTCTAATGGTTTATTGGAAAAATAACACAAATGTATTTAATATGTTTGTCCACAACGCTGCATTTTGAATTCGTTGCAAGGTATATTTTGCTTTATGATAATACTCTTATCCTGATTTACTTTTTTTTTTAAGTAAGAAAGTCATATTTGCCTAATGTTAGCAAATCTCCAAAATAAACGACAGAAGGGAGAAACGATACGATTCTCCCATCAATATTTCGCCAGCATGCTTCTCTTTAAACGGAAAATTTCCAATTTCTACCCAGAATCTGGAAAGTTGCTTTCATTTCTTAGCTTCCTTGATTAATTATCTTGTTTGACGAGCTATTAATGATGGTATACTTGCCTGAATGGCTGCCTACAGCTAGAATTGCGTGACAGGTGTAGTTGAGAGAAGCTTTCACAGTGGCAGATTTCAAAAGGCATTCCAGACAAAAGTATGGCAGTACTCAAAGGTTTTTTTAATGAACTTCAGAGATGAAATGATGGACAATAAAGGGGCGTTCAAATTGGTGTTGTAGCTTTCTGGCAAGGAGAGATATTTGACCTCAAAGTTACCAAATATTTGAGCAGAGTTCACGACGAGCTTTATACGACTTTGAATTTCTTGACTCCTACCGATTTTGCGCTATTGAATGGCGCAAAGTCAGGAGGGGGTCTAGTTTTTCTTCACGTAGCATCTCTACCGGCAAAAATTTAATGAAGGATTTTCACTAGAAAGGTGTTGAGAAGTGAGGTTCGGCACATGGCTATCTATCAACAGATTTAATTTGACACGTCAGTCTAGACAACATTATGAGGTAAGTATCGAGTGCGCTCCGTAGATCACAAAATGTAGAAAATGTATCTTCTCAACGTAAACAAAAATTACGAGACGCCCATATTGAAGTGTGCGTCGTTCCCTTTATGTTGAGCCAAGCAGGAGCACTTTTAGTAAAGAAATCTTTGAGAAAAAGTAAGTATTATAAGTACGAACCTATGAGAGAATTATTAGCTAGTACGAACATAGTTCTCAAAGCCATTAATCAATCGATCGATGATACAGCGCGCGATAGTTGCTTTTCTTATCAGAGTAGGAAAACAGTAACCTTGACTCTTAGCAGAGCGTATTATTTTGTGGTTCCTGCTTCTACATTCAACAGTTACCTAAAGCCAGCTGAAAGATGCTACAAATTAACATGCGAGAGGGTCAATGTGGCGAAAAAAAGTTCATTTGAAATTTTTTCACCCAGCAAAAAGGTT